TGGATACAGATCCTTCTCGTCAGGTATCTCGAAAGTTCTTCAGGTTAGGCCCACAAGACTGAGTCGCTGACGGTAGCTTCGCGCCGTGTCCTGAAGGACTGTACAGAGCATGCAGGCATTGCTTCATCCCTGAATAGGGCAGCCGATTCTTCTCTCCATCGTACCATCGTACTATCTTGCAATGAAGGCTATGTCTGATAGCCGAAATCATCCATGGCCAGAGCTTTCTAGTGTAAATCAAGGTGCCACGACAGCCGATTTACCATCCTTTGGGAATGCGACCCCTGTCCGTGAAGAGCCTAGGTCGCGTATTTACGTCCCCGAAGGTGACTTACAAGGTAGATCTAGATCAGCAAGTCCCTGGAATAGAAGCTCTCACAATTAACTTTCATGCAGATGCACCATTAACAGCCCTAGTTCCACGCCCTGAGCTCCGATCGCAGAGTAAACTCGCACCTATTCACCCCGCACTCAATCTTGTTTGTCGACAACTCCAACATTTACCTTTGACTGCTTCACACAACCTCTGGTCCAATGTCCTTCACAGCTTTTGCAATTACAGTACCGCTACCACCATCTTTCCTGGGTCAAGATGTTGCACCTATTCAACGTCTCGTTGACAGCCTTATACGCTTTTATTATTCTCTATTTTCTCAACAAGATATGGGACAATATCAATTACTCTCGAAAGACTAAGGCTTTCAAATGTGGCGAGATCAAGACCTACTCCCACTGGGACCCTGTTTGGGGCATGGACTTTGTGATGTCCATGAGCCGTGCTTTCAAGGAGCATAGATGGCTGTCCTGGATGGAGGAGACTTGGGCTGCTCAGGGTACCAAAACCTTCAAGGCGCGATTCCTCGGCATGCGCATGGTCTACTCTTCCGAAATGGAAAATATGAAGGCCATGAGCACTAGCCAGTGGGAAGAATTTGTACTTGAGCCCATACGAGTCGACAACGGCGTCGCAACTCCGTTCACTGGAAAGGGCGTAAGCACTTCGGATGGCCAGTTTTGGCACTACAGTCGGGGCGTTATCAAGCCATACTTTGAAAGACAAGCTTTTGCCAACGTTGCCAGACTTCAGCCATTCACTGACCGAATGCTGGATCTGATACCCACGAATGGGAACACTTTTGACTTCCAAGTCTTGATCAGAAGATGGGTAAGTTGTGCCTTCTCCAGCTTGCTTGAAAAACACCCAGCTCATCATGATTCTGTCTTCTTTTGCAGTTTTTAGACACCTCCACAGAGTTCCTTTTCGGCCGTAGTCGTAACAGTCTTCAAAATCCCGAAAAAGAAGACGTCATGCTCGCCATGGTCGACATTATGCGTGGCGCTCGCGTACGACTGACCATGGGGAAGTTCATGTTCCTTCACCGGGATCCAAAGTGGTACGAGAGCATTCGTCTCGTGCACAAGTTCATGAACGAATACATCGACGACGCCTTCGATGAACTCAAGCAGCGGAAAGAGTTCCCTGACAAGTTTGCCGACAAACCGGAACGCACGGATTTACTATGGGACATGGCGCACCAGATAGAGGACAAGATACTCCTACGAGATCAAATCACCGCCGTCTGGGTTCCCAGCAATGAGACGACTAGCATCCACATTTCCAACGCCATATTTGCTCTCGCTCGTCATTCTGAAGTCTGGAAGCGACTGCAGAGAGAGGTGAAGGATACATTTGACGAAAGCGAGGAAATCACTTTTTCCAAACTCCGGGGGATGCAGTATATGAACTGGGTTATCAACGAAGGTTAGCAATCTGCTCCGAAGAGTTGTAGACCACATCTTAATAACGACGTCGTCGTAGTGCATCGAATCATGCCCAACGGCATTCAGATGATTCGCGTTGCCGCTCATGATACCACCCTTCCACGGGGTGGTGGCCCGGACGGCAAACAGCCCATTTTTTGTGCCAAAGGCGATATTGTCCACAGCAATCGCTATCTCATGCACCGGGATCCTGACTATTGGGGCCCAGATGCGGCCGAGTTTCGCCCCGAGCGCTGGAAAAGCGTCAGGCCATTGTGGCATTTCGTGCCCTTTGGCGGCGGGCCACGCATCTGCCCAGCTCATATCCTCGTAGCTACGGAGACCGCGTATGTTCTGACACGCTTTTGCCAGAGATTCAAAAACCTCGAAGCTAGAGATGATCGACCTTATGTTCCTGTTATGAGGGTTGGGCCAAGCAGCCTGCATGGCGTCAAGGTTGCAGTCACCCCGCGATAGATTTCAAGTTACGTGCTGGAACAAAAAGCAACTTGAAGCGATCTCGCGGCTTCCAGATCAGCCGAAAATTTGATACATAGGCCCAGTTTCTACCAATACTAGATCTCGAATTCACTCTATCTACCTCCTGCTTCCATGACAACATTTTCAGTGTAATCCATGACTTTCTGCATCCAACCATCATCGCACGTTAAAGTCTCCAGAACCTCATTGCGAGAAGATGTGCTTCCGTCTGCCAGCACCAGATAAAAGCCACTACACGGTCCGTGACATAAAGCTTGATCATTAACATTGATCTTGGCACGCAAAATCATGTCACGACTGGGATATCGCTCGCTGGTCGCGTTGAAAGCCTGTCTTTGCCCACACTCGTCTTCACTCATAGCAACCATTTGATAAAGGGGACCAACTACCGTCTCAACCATTCTGCCAAGGACACCTCCACTACCCAAGAGATTAGATAGGAAGCTCGTAGAAACCCAACCAGGATAGACGTGAAGGAACGAGATCCTAGGATGGGCCTTGGCGAGAAACATGAGAGCAAGGCTGTGAATAGTGGTGACTTGGTCAACAGCTCTTGGCGCGGTGTAATTCCCCTCCAGCCGAAGTCCCAAGTCGCCTCCTTCAGTGAAGAGTGGCTTTTCGTGCCCACCGGCCAAGACAGAGACAATGCGGGGTTCGTTGGCTCTCAAGAGGCTAGACATGAGTCCCTGGATCAATCGGATGCGGATGTAGTGGGACAGAGCGAAACAAATGTCAAGGCGCTCTTCTGTATCTAGGTTCCCGAAGGTCAGATAGACTCTTACGAACAGCCCGGGATGATGTTGCAGTACGAAGCCACTAGCCTCCCACAGAACAGGGAAGGGGCGTGAAGATGGAAATCAGGCAACAAAGCTGAAAATTGACATTCTGAATAAACTCACAATGTGGTCCCCCAAAGGCCAACGATCCTGGACTCATGTAAAGCAAGTCTACATGGGGCTCACGTCGTATGATGTTCTCACAGACGGCACTGACATTCCGGAGGAGCGCTATCTCGGTCTCAATGAAATGGATGCTGACTGAGGGGTTACTCCGTCGCAAGGCGGCGATGTGAAGGGCAAAACTGGCTTTCGATCGACCGATTACGTAGAAGCGCGGTGACACAAGACTGACGGTGAGAACTTTGAGGGTAGCGAGGCCAATGCCACTGGTGGCTCCGGCAAACACGGCTACGAACCCTGCTTTCCTTGCTGACAATGAGGCGTTATGTTCGAGGACGGAAAGTAACGAAGGCATTTCGTCAGAAACTACATGTAAGAATAAGGGGTTGGAAAGGATGCAGTTGGGGTGTATCGATGGGACCATCCACTGTCATGAAAGCTGGTTGTAGTATACCCAGAAACAAACTCACCCTACGCTTGAAGCCATTCATTTATGTCGTCTAGATATGCATTTAAAACGATTACCATCCTTTCTAACGTAGATACTGTACATTAAAGTTCAGACGTAGTTCATGCCTAAATAGGCTGACATGAAACATGACTAGCCACAATGTCGGAACAGCCTCTGAGACATGCTTCGATCGTATCAGTCTTACCTCGTTATAATATGTAGATTGTGTTCCACAAGTTTTCAACAGCTTTCCTTTGAGACATGCATGTGCAAGGATTCTCATCCTTGGGTGAAGTTTGAACATACAGGCCAAGGATGAGACAAATCTCGTAAAACTCCAACAGTATTGGTCTATGAATTGTCGAAACTTGATGCCTTGCTCGGAAGCGCAGTACACACAAACCTCCAACGGCAACTAGGCACCAAGGATGTGACCCCTGCGGGTGTTGTGTCGATCAGGGCTAGATGCATCTACACAGTGCCAGGGAGCAAACCCAAAGTCCCGTACGTGCGGATGAGACCATACTAGATGAACTAAAGATAAGGCTGCTGCTGGAACTTTAGTCTTCACTACCTGCATTTCCCCGCCCAGCTCCTTGTCAGACCACACATTTGGGTGGCTGTCAGGTTGACATATTGTCAGCTTGATTGGATGAGTACCGGATAGACACGTTGGGTCGTGCGAAATTCGTAAGCGCGAGCGGGACGGTGCGAAGGAGAATGATTGTGCACCCCACATGTCTGAAGGATTCAAGAGACCGCCCTGGAAGACCAGCCCAAATTCACGTAACAGGGGCAACCAGTGCTCCCAGTCCTTCCCGAGTCTGTTTAGGGTAGGATCGAAAAGAATACCTGCTTTGGGAGAATTGCGTATAGTGGACGTTGCCAAGGATTCACCGGCAACTTGAAGTAGACAAATGCTTTCTGGAATTAGCTATACCTTGTAGACATGCCAAGACACCCTGTGCTCCATCGCTTAGAGTAATGGTTCGATATCTTGATCATCGGAAAATGTGGGCTATTCGCAGGCAGAAGCGTGCCATTTTCATAGGTTCAGTGCACGATATGTTTGCATTGCTAGGACCACTCCCTTTGAAAACCAGGATCTAATGGTTGTGACCCGAGTCAGGATTCGTCATCAGGTAGGTTCTTTCATGTGGATGAAGCAAACAACTGGCTTCACATTTGCATTTGGAAACCCAACAGTCAGTAATTGCTTCTCGGACATGATCCTGTATTACGGATGTGTGTCTGATGGTGCTAGTAAAAGAAATTCAATCTCTGGAACTTGGATTATTGTCGATGCCATTATAGGAATTCTTCGCGGACAATTGAAGCACTGCAAAGATCGCATCGGACTGTATCACCAGAATTCATTTGGAACCAAAATGTCCTCCCAAACCTACGTCAACCACACTCAAGTTACTCCTGGCGTAACTTGGGACCACATTACTACCAATTGGCAAGCTCTCACTGCAACATCGCGTCTCACATTTACAGTCGCTGTCATTTGCACCGGAGCGTACATCATCTCCATCGTCAAAGAGCTCTACTTCTCGCCGTTATCTTCATTCCCTGGTCCGAAACTTTGCGCAGTCTCTCGGATTCCCCATCTCATTGCCACAGTTCGAGGACGCCAGCTTCCATGGCTGATTAAACTCCACAACCAATACGGCGGTGTCGTCCGTATCGCCCCCGACGCCCTCACTTTCACAGACGAGCGTGCTTGGTTCGACATCTGCGGCGCCACCAAAGCAGCCAAAGATGGCATGGCCAAAGACCCTCGTCTCGCAGCCCTCGTGGGAGGCGACCTTGTCAATCCCGACCCCGCGAAGCCACGATCTCAACAGACGCACAGTCTCATGCGCAAGGCAATGGTGCCGGCTCTAAAGCGCGATAACGTCAAGAAGATCGAGGGCATGATCAATGGCCACATCGACGAGTACCTTTCCTTTATGGAGTCCGCCAATGGTGCCGCTATCGACATGCGCGACATGAACAGCTTTCTGATTTGCGACCTCATAGCGGATTTGTTTCTCGGCGAGTCTCTCCATCTCTTCTCGGACCCAAAGTTCGTACCTTGGGTGCATTCTTTCGACCGGTTTGCCAAGGGTGTCACAATCCTAGCCGTCTTGAACCGGTTCCCGTTTCTTCACAAGATTCTACTTTTTGCCGTTCACAAATGGGGAAGCGGCGAGCGTGAGTCTTTCATGGCTCCAATCTTTGAACGCTTTGATCGCCGTGTCGCCCTTTCAGCAGCGAGGCATGACATGCTACAGATGGTCTTGGATGGAGAGTCTGAAACCGGCGGACGACAAGGAACGATGCCTCTAGAGCTGCTGAGGGAATTTGCTCCATTCCTGATGCTTGGTGGTTGCGAGGCCATGCCGACTGTACTCACAGGATTCGTCTATTTTGTCTCGCGTGCGGAAAACCGCGCTATCAAGGAGCGCTTGCTTGAGGAGGTCAGAACTATGTTCAAAACCGAGGCGGATATCACCATGGACAGACTCAGCAGTTCTCAAAAGGATCTGCCTTACCTAGAGGCATGTCTGCAAGAGTCAATTCGGTGCTACTCGCCAGCGGCAACTGGCACAGATCGCTGCGTTCCTTTATCGGGAGCTCAGATTGCGGGTAAGTTCGTACCTGGGAATACTGTTGTCATGATGCTGCATCAGGTCACCTACTCAGTGGAGCGCAACTTTGCCAGACCTGAGGAATTCGTTCCTGATCGATGGCTCCCGGATGATCGAGGACGACCAAAAGACTGTCTAGGCGATAAGAAAGGAAGCGTGCACCCCTTCTCAGTTGGACCCCAGTCGTGCTTCGGCCAAGAGTTAGTCTTACCGCCCCCGTTGCAAGGTCTGATTGGATTATACTGACACTCTATAGGTTGAGCTTTTATGTTCTACGCATGACCCTGTGTAAACTGCTGTTCAACTATGACGTAGCCTTGGACGCTGCGTCTGAAAATTGGCTGGATCACCAACTCACTTATAGCACACGGTCGAAGCCGCCTCTAATGGCAGTCATCAAACGGGCCAAGACGAGTTGAAAAGCGAGTTAAATGTTGGAATCCTGGTATCATGCCAATTTATCTCCAGAATACATGTAGTGCCAACATTGAAATTGATGGGGTCTTCGAGTCATCCATAGCAATCAAATAGCTTTGCCACATCACAGCATGAGCCAAGCATGAGTAGAATGCTGTGATCTCATTGAGTCTTGAATTCTAAAGGCCCCGAAGGCACACAAGATGTGATCAACACATTATCAGTATGCGTCAAGTTAATCTACAGGGTTTTTCCATCCTTTTCACGGGGAATTGGCTATTGCATTTGTAGTAGAGCAATGCGTTGACAACTCTGTAACTGGATGGTTGGGGATACCGAAAGGCTTTGTCACGGACTTTGAATTACTACGGTATCTCGTAGGCGAGCTTCCGGGTGTTTCCTTCCGTTCAATTACAGTTGCTCGAAGACGCGAGCTCTTATCCCTTGCGAATCTAGTGGAGGCATCCCGACAAAAAAGTCATGCGCAAGCTCAACGTCACGCCGTGTAGTCTGATAAAGTTCGAAGTCGAACCGAGAGAAGATCGTGGCAACAGTGAGATACAGCTCGGCATAGGCAAGGTTCATACCAATACATTGCCGGCTGCCACGCGCAAAAGGCACGAAATTGCGCGTGAGCCTCGTTTTATCATCGATCCAGCGCTGGGGGTTGAATTGGTCTGCGTTGTTCCAGTGCGCTTTGTTCGTATGAAGAAGATATGAGGAAGAGCTCATAACGGTCTACGAAGATTGATAAGTATAAGACCGAGTAAGTTTGGACTGTGTTGTACTTACACCTCGCGGCAGCCTGTAGCCAGAGTACATTAGGTCTTCGGTAGGAGCATACCGTGGAAGACGACCCGGTACTCCATAAGAAAGTCTTATGCCCTCTTGTATGACACCAGTCTGGGCTTTCATGTTAGAGAAGAAACGACTTAATTACTCGCTATTGTGGAACATGACAACTGACCAGATATGGGAGAGGCTCCAATTTTGCCACAGTGAAAGGTGGGCTCACAGACTTGAGCTCAGCTCGGAGGGTCTTAAGCATAGCCTGGTTCTCCGTGAGAAAATAGCTCAAGACCGTCAAGGCGGCGGCAGTGGTTTCCGTGCCGGCACCTAAGAAGATCGCCGCTTCGGCTTTAAAGCGCTCAAGAGTCTTGTCAGACTCCGGCAGCTGTTTGCTATCTCTCATCTCATGGAACACGGTTCGTATCTTATCAGGCTTGTCTTTGGCAAGGACCTCCGTGATCTGCCCAGAGATCTTCTTGTCATAGTCTGCAAGAGGCTGAAGCTTAGGATCGATCTTTGCTAGGACGCTGATGGGAATTTTCTGGATCAAGTCGAAGAGCCAAGGAAACATGCGGCCAATGGGGTGACCTTGCGGCATCTCATGGAAAAAGTCGAGAAACTCTTTGCCGAACTTATCTTGTTTGAGGTTGTCCATGCTCTCGCCGAAACAATACTGGCCGATGACGTCCATGGTGAGGCCACTATAGAGCTCTTTGAAGTCCATGACCGCCCCAGAATCAGCAAGGCCACTCATTCTACCAGCCAATTGATTGATAGTCTGGACGATGAGAGGTTCCAGAGCACGGATTGACTGCTTAGAGAATGATCCAGACAGCGCCGATCTGCGAATCCGATGTCTTTCGGCGCTATAGGTGTCAAACATGCTCTCATCCTGGGTTGCCATGAACCGAATCTTATTCCGAGGTCGATGTGGTCCACTGGCGTAGATCTCGTCGTAAAATGTGATGTCGTTGATATGAACTTCGCGAGGGTTGATCCTGACTATGGGACCATACTTGGCATGCAAGTCCTGGATTTTCCATAGAAAGCGCCCACGACAGATGGCATCGTAATAGAATTCGTACAAAAATGTTATTGCAGCAAGTTTCGGGCCGGGAATGTTTCTCAGCGGTGAGAAAAACAAGCGATAGACCACCACAACGATAGAATAGTGCAGTAGAAGTAGCACCAAAGCTTTGAATATGCTTAGTGAATCCCAAGTGAAGTCCATCATGGAAGCTGTTCACCGCAGAGTGCAAAAAGTGTTTTGGGGCACCAAAAATGCTCAGAATGACTGGAAGCTCAAGAATAATGCCACCGCAACTCAAATCCATGAAAGAATATGGCCGCTAAACCAAGGAGTCAAGAATAGCTTCTGCAAGGCAATGAGTCGGGCCAGCGGTCGCCGAGCTTAAGCTTTCGGCGTAATATTCGCCTCGATTTAGGCATAGATGTTCCATGACACAATTCGCACGGAAGACTAGGGAGCAATGTCCGAGAAAATATCGTCAGATGATTGCATGAGAGATGATACCCATGGATACAAAGGGTGACTGTCGTCAAAAGTTCCCGCACTACTCTTTACGAAGCCCCCACGAGGAAAATCAATCTTGGGAGGGGTGCGTCGTACTATCTACAGACTGGGATATTCCATCCTTCATGCCGAGCGGCAAGAGATGGTCTGCAAGTGACTAGTGAGATCCTTCGGGACCGGGGCATAAGAGAGGGGTGGTGGCGGGGATGATGAGAGCTATCCCATTGACGGGGCGAAGTGTCAAGGGGTATCTCCAAAGTCCCTCAACGTCATTTATGCAACTATCCGTAAGTTCACACCAGCATAGTTCCACTTCGACATCGTTACGTCCTAATGTCTCACCTTGGCGAATCCTCCGTGGCTAACAGGAACATTGCCTGCTGCCTGATGTTTACTAGACTTGGCAGGAAATGAAATAGGGACTTGAGGATTAGCCTGTCTGAGGTACAAACTCTTGGAGCTTTTGTAGTCGCCAAGATTAGACAACGGGACATGACGAAACAAACATGATTGAGATAAACATAATCAAGTAATGGCCTCAACACATCACCAGAAAAGGTTGCGAGTTCATCTCCCAGCTCCGCACCACATTCTCACTTCCTCTTTACAACTCGTTTTGAAAACCCAAGTTCATTCTCAGCTTCGTCGACCAACATGGCTACTACAAACACCGCTGCCCCTCCCCAAGTCGAGCTTGATGCCGGCATCGCCAACGGCACCGGTATGGACGAACTCATGGCAGATGCTAAAAAACGTGGCCTGGAAGAAGAAATCTCCCGCTTGACTGATAACCACCGCGTCTACACAGATGCTGCCGGTGGAAAGCTGTCCTTCATTCCAATCGATTGGAAGAGGCCCGGTCTCAGGGTCTTGGACTCCGCAACGGCAGATGGTATGAGTTTTTCCACATGCAGCTTTGCATGTTATGGCTGACCATCGGATTAGGCATCTGGCTGCAGGACCTTCGGAAGCAAGCGGGACCTGCCGCTGAACAGCAAACCTTCATTGGTACTGACCTAGTTGAAGCACTCTTCCCCAATCCTCGACCCGATGGCATCGAGTTCTATAAACAGTCTATCACCGAGGCCTGGCCTGTCGAGTGGCATGAATCATTTGATGTTGTCCACCAGCGCCAGGTGCTGGGCTTTTGCGGCAACTTCGCCCTCGAACAGGCTGTTGCCAATCTCTGCGCGTTGGCTAAGCCTGGGGGTTGGGTTGAGCTTGTCGAGCTTGACTGCGACCAGAGTCTGTTGGGCGAAGGCACAGTCGCTCGCGAGTTCTTCCAGCTGCTGGAGCAGATTTGGATCATCAAGAAGATGGGCGGGAACTTTGGTCCCAATTTGAAGGACTGGATGGAAGCGGCCGGTCTCGAGGACGTGCAGGTCGATGTCTTGGCATGTAAGGTTGGTGCTAAGGCGAAGCCTGAGCTCAAAGAAGCTAGCATTAATGGCGCTGCTGGCGCTGGTCCTATGATCGTGGCCATGGCCCGGAGTAAGTTCCCAATCGCACGTCCGGTTTCTTTGCGTAGACTAACGTCAGGCTCAGCCCTGCCAGAGCTTCAGGGATTCTCACCCGAACAACTTGACACGCTCGATGCCAGAGTTCGTCAGGAGCTGTCAGAGAATGGTTGTGAGTTTCAAAGCTTTGCTGTTAGAGGAAGGGTGCCTGCCGGAGGATTGAAGCCGAAGTCTAAGGACTAGAGCAGATCCTTTAGATTAGCTCGGCGAATACTAGTAACGAAGAGCAAAGGTTTTACCTAGTCGCGTCAAGTTTTGTAGATTTGGCTCTGTTATCGCGAATCATGAACTATATAAAAGCTAAGTACATTCTGCTTCGATCTAAGGGAATGAACAACATAAAATTGAAGTTACCCACGTAGCTTCTTTTTCGAAGCTCTTACGGTTTCAGTGTGCTCTGATTGATGATTCATGGCTGCTGCTTACGCCAATAGCGGCAATTCCTAGGTGAGCCCCATAGTAAGGTAGATGCACTCGGGCCGTGTACTGGAATGCAATCAAGTGAGTTTGTTATTGAACAAAACGTGGTTTATTGAGGTAATAATCATGTTCAACAGTGTTCGTGTGGCGGAAGGCCGTTAGCTGTTGTCAGCCTGTCGGTGTATCTCCTTTTCACAAAGTCCAGCAAGCGATCCACGTCCTTTGTCGTCGTCATGAACCCAAACGAGATCCGTACGGCACCCACAGGTGCCAAAAGCCTGACGTAGTCGTCCAGAGAGTCACTCTGGATGTCGTTGAGCGGTAACAAAGCCCTCTTGTCCAGACCAAAGGCAGCTTCTCCAGCGCCAGGGTTACAAAAGCAGCCCGTCCGTAGTGATATGTTTTCGACAGAGGCTTCCTTAGCAACCAGTCTCTCGTCGACGACCCTTCCACCAATGTCCAACAAGTTGAAGCAAATCGTTCCACCTCTCAGCTTCATATCCGTCGGGCCGTATATCCTGACCATGGGCGACCCGTCACTGTGTTCGAGATTCCGTAAACGATCGAGACACCAGCCGGTGAGACACCTGACCCTAGTGTCAATCAATGGCATGCCAATGCCTTCCAGCCAGTCCAGCCCAACAGTAACATCCGGTATTGACAAGAAGTTGACCGTTCCATCCTCAAAGGCAGCCTCATCTGGCGCCATGACGTGCCACGGAATTCCAACCGATGCCGCTGTGATGGTTCCACCTGAAAACCAAGGTCGTGAGGTGGCAAGCTTCGCCAGAGCATCGCGTCGTACAATCAGACAGCCAACGCCGGTCGGGTAGCCAAATAGCTTGTACCAGCTCGCGATGACAAACTCCGGTTGGACACCGGATCCTGCGGACAAATCGAGTCTGGAGGTCGGCAGATACGCCGCCGCATCGAGGAGCACGTCATACCCTTGCTTCTGCGCGACGCTGATCCATGACAGTGGATGACGGACGCCGCTGAAATTACTTTGGGCAGGGTACGCAAATAGACCTCTCTTTTTGGATTTGGTGTTGACCGCGTCGTTGTTGGTGGTTCGTGGGGTCAGAGCTAGTTTCGCAGCTGCAGCTGCAGCTGAGCCGAATAAGCCACCTCTGCGAAGGTTTAGTGCTGACATGAGGTCAGACGGGTCTATCCTCAGCTCCGGTGCGCGGACTGGAACGTAAGTGGTTCGTGTGTGTTTTCGGCGTGCGAATTCTCGGAGGCCGTTGACGGAGTTGTGGTTGTCGGACGTGAGAACCAGTCTGGTTCGTCTCGTGAAGGGGTATGATTCCGCAACGAGCCGCGCGGCGCCTGTTGCGTTTGGAGTGAAGATTGCAGTGTACTCTTCCGGGGAGGCATTGAGGTAGGATAGGACGCGGGTTCGTGCCTGCTCGACGAGGTGAGTAGCGGACTGACTCGTCGGATTGATAGAGTGCGGGTTGCCGCAAAGAGTTTGCTGGAGTCGAGTCTCGTGGGCTCGGATCTGGGATCGGGCGGCGAGTCCTGCGCCTGTGAAGTCGAGGTAGACGTGGTCCTGCTCGTCGAGGTAGCCATACTCAGTAGCGCGCAGATCATCTAGCCGCGAAGTCGATACATACTCGGGGTGGCTGTCGAGAATGTTCTCCATGCTGGCCACCTCCAATATCCCAATATCGGAATATTGGTGTTGGGTGAAGTCCAGTCTCGATTGGATTGGGTAAGTGGTTACAATACAAGGGGAAAAGAGGAATTGGCTTAGTAGGTAGTAAGAGGAATAAGTGCGGTAGGGCTTGTCTGTCCGGAGATGTTTGTGAATACTCCAGGTACAGCGTGTCTCTGGGGCAGAAATTTGTGTATAAAAATCAGGCAGGCCCTTACTTACTTAATGGGATGGAAGGAGGAAAAGAGTGGTAGGTAGCGCCTGCCATATAATCCCATCATTATCCGATCGTCCGAACTTATTTTGGACAACCAGCTCTTTGGTATGCATCCTGATCCTAATGAGAACCTTCTCCACTAGTATTACTTCTAGGGTGCCAGATATCAGATAGTGGAGGGTTGCATCGACCGTGGACCCGGGGGTTCGGCTAGCCCAAGCAGCTAAGACCCGTCGCCGAGTTCCATGTCAGAAGGAGAGTAGCAGCGCTTGGATGAGCCTCTCATTATTCGTCGCCTCTCTGACGGTAATGATTGGTAATATCGAACGAGAGGGCATGCACTGCGTACAAAGGTGGACTGTGCTTGGGGATATATACACCGTTCTTCTGCTTGTACGCGCAGATGTTGGGCAGACTGCTGCATTTGTCCTACCTGAATGCCTGCAGGTCCAGACCACGCGGACGACTGCGTTTCTTCGGATCCCCCATGCCGCCCATTAATTACGTGCGAAAGAAGTGCAGAACGGATGATTGGGTGGCACGACATGTTTTCTCCCTTCACCTTTGCGAGACCCTGTGCCTGCGTTTCGGGGAATGCTGTGGCGCCTAACGTGGAATTTCCGACAAAATTGGGTCGTGAGATATTCCATTTCGGGTTACCAATTGCTGACGGCCTGACGGTCTCGGACTGGTAGATCAACCGGTTCCTGAGTGCATGTCATTCCGGCACCTTCGCGTGGGAAGGAAGATCTTCTGTCAAGAATATTGATAAAGACACAAGCTCAAGAAGTGGAGGAATTTTGCAACAGGCAATGAGAGTCATGTTACAAAGGGGTTCCTGAATTGGATATTCTCGAACACAGCGCAAAGTGGCTCAAGTGGCACTTCGTACTTTTCGTCCTATCGCAAATTTGTTTATGTTTTATTGGTTAGAAACTTCAATGAATTAGACTTGGTCACGATCATGCTGTCCACGCCGACCTGCATATGCGGCCCATGATCGTCGTTGGCGCCGCTTCAGCAGAGCGGAGACACCCGTCGATGATAGACATTGTATCGTTAATCCCTTAGAGGTAGGCCACATGTTCAAGTGAAAATCACTGGGATATGCAGCGGCGGTGATTTTACGGCCGGTATACTATGCGGTTGAAGGCTCGTACTTGCATACATCTTCGCTGTAAGAGCCATATATAGGCGACAGACCGATGCACCGGACAGTATGTTGGTAACCAATGAGCGTTCAGGCCCTAATTCACAATAACATCAGCAAGCAGAACAAGTGCAGGACCTAGCTCATGATTCCATGAGAACGAACAACAGGTGTGTTCGCTTATTACCCAGCATGTTTGAATGGCATCATCGCCAACTCCTCGGACTCAAATTGTTGGTCTCCACCATGTTTTCACCGATCCACCCACGTTTTATTTTTCTCCACAAGTAGGATGTACGGCTCTCTTTACTTGGAAATACGAAAGATGGTGTGTAAGACGACTAACGAATATGTGCAGCGTTCCACATCTCAAACTAATTGCGTTGGGCTAAGCGGCTTTCCTTTCCCCCCTTCGATAAAAATGCATACTGTAATGGGACCATTTTCACCCAATCATTTGCCTGCATCAAGCGATTTTGCCCTGGTGCCCATGCAGCTCTCTCTCAGCTGGCGACATGGCAAGGTGCTACCAAGGCACAGCTTACTGTGCTTTCGCTAGTTCCTAACCGCATTGGGAAGCTTTGGGCGATGGAGGCGACCAGGCAGCTATCAAACAACCAAATCAAAAGGCTCGAAAGGCAATTGCTCGTGGAGCGCCATGAATCATTGGAAACTTGTCAAAGGCACTATATGACTTGGCAACAATCCACATCGTAGGCTCGCAACGCTTGAATTCTAGGTTTCGCGAAAGATATCCGCATCCTATCGGTATCCTTTCCCAAACTTAGGCTTAGCGCCAGTCGGGCTTGGCCACGGAGTGAATAGCCCATGTTCGAAATCATGAACAAGATCATGCCGACCACTAATAAAACACACACGTATCTGTCAACACCATCAAGCTGCACAATCTGCTTGAGAAGCGTTGGGCCCGTTATTCATGACCGATCTTCGGCGGAAGCCTGGAGCCAGGAAGCTTCCTACTATGTTACCTACCTAAATAGGGTTTACGAAGTTAAACCCTGAGACAAGGACGCGGGTTGATCGTCACTCGAATCTACGCCTTGGTCCGAAGAAAATCCTTAACTCACCTACTCTTGAGTAATTAGACCTGCTTCTCTGACCGAGGACACTCAGCCTATTTGCTTCTAGGCTTTCTTGGCAAACTCGAACCGGTGAAGAAAATTGGATGGAAGAAATTCCGTTTCATGTTTCATTTCTAGACTCGTTTGCTTTCAACCGCATAAGATCCAAGGAGCAATCTATTTCAATGTACCTAGCAAAGCTGGCAAGGGAATTGTCAGATTGTCTATCCCTCGATCTCAAATGACATCAAATAGATCTGAGAAATCATGCCATGTAAGAATGTTATCAAACGCCAGCGGCTCAAGCGCGATTGCATTCCACGGTTGTGATAGTCCAGTGCCAAAATTCTCCCCAGATGGCATCTTTGGGGACGCTGCTACCAGTATTGACGTCTCCTCGGCGGTTTCGCGCTGTCGAGTCGACTCTCTCGCCCGGTCTCGCAACGGCCCCATAGCCGCCCACACGCAACTCTTCTTCCCCCTCCGCTCATTCGCTTCTTCGAAGTCAGCGAGGCAAGCGATGTAGTTATCCACTGCAAGCCAAGCGCGCTCTGCCTCCCCTCGTTCAGGCGAATCGACGAGCGTGCGGAGCGTGAGGAACAGGGCGTATAATTGCGGATGCTGCTGATAGAACCAGGCGTAGCCGGGGAAAAGCCTTCCTGATTGAAGCAGGTACCCTTGCTCGAGCAATTCGATGGCAGTGATGAACAGGGAATGGGGCAGGTACCGGTACCTGCGTTCTTGTTGCATTGGCGCCGAGAGCCAGGCTTGGAGCATCAAGATGAAGCGCGCTTTGGCTACGGATATCCGAAGCAAAGACTCCGCAGCACGATATAGGTCACTATTCTTCGGTGCGAACCGGAGCCAGCGATGGGCCATGGAGGACTCCGTCTGCTGGATCTTGGCCTCCCTCGTTTGCTCGTCCGCAGCTCCAACAGCGGAGACGGCGTGGCGTAGGTTGCGGCAGAGGTCGAGGTTCATGATGGAAAAGGTCGTCTCGGTCCATTCGTCTCTTCCGGCAGGGGCCTCGTCCATCTGGGGCCATAGCTCGGTATCATTCACATTTAGCGGCAAGCGAAAGATTTTGCCGCGGTCGGCCATTGTGTTGTTGAATCCGTGGCTCTCGGGCGCCGTGGCGTCTAGGGCGGTGAGATGCCACCAGAGACGACAACGCATTTCCGTCTCAAAGGGGCCCAGGCCGAGACGGAAGCCGTCTTCGTGTACGCCGAGGGATTCTGCTATTCTGATAGCGAGGCCGGTGAGCGTCCAGATGGTTCGGCCGGTGTCGAAGGTTCTTAGTGCAGTCTGTGTATGCGTGATCAGCAATGGGTAATGTATTAGTGGAATCCAAATTGCCGTACCAAGTAGATTGCCAGAGCCTTCAACCCCTGCACGTTTGGATAAAGTAAGAACTGAGCCCTCGTGAATGCGCCATCTATTTCCCGCATAAAGTGGCGCAAGAGGACTAGCCTTTCAATACCTAGTTGGGTTACAACCTCGGTGCTAGACATACTGGTCGTTGCCGCAAAGGCAGTGGTATAAAGAAGAGCCTGTGTGATGTTGTCTGCTCCTTGAGGTTTGGCTGCGACACCAAGCATCACTGGCTGGATCGTGGGTATGTGGAGTATTTTGATCAAGGGATCAACGTTTTGTAGATAGACGATCCATAGCCTGGTAAGGACGTGAGGAGGTACTGAGACGGTCTCCGGGTCAGATCCAAAGACATCCGTGGCAGCTATGCCATAGTGGGGAGATATATGTTGAGTTGTTGCGCTGGGTCTGGGATCTCTAGTCTTCGTGCCGGCTATGGGTCGCTGTCGAGGCGGGTCCTAGGAGATATCAATATGTTTTCTCAAGACTAGAAGTTGCTCGAGCCATTACCCCAAGAAATAAGCCGACAAATACTGAATCATCTACAAAGTTTCCTCTCTCCCCGTCTCCGACAAGGACTTCTTGTGATGGCAGGATCGGTGGAGCCGGACCGGAGTCCGTCCCAGGCTTGCTCTGTCTACACGGGTCTTGCACCGGGGCCCCATTACGAAGAGAGGAGACAAGATTGGATAAGACCCCTTCAACTCGAGCAAGTCGGTCAAGAACTTCCTGGTTCGTCGGTTGTATCGTCTGCTCTGGAGGAGGTTGTGACGATGACTCAGTTACTTGATGAACTACAGCAGTTTCGCAAAACGCTGGTACGTTCGCATCGCATGGCGAAGAGGACTTGACTGATCTGGCATTTACGGGGGCTCTTCTCGTTCTGGCCTCGAACACACATGAGAGCTGTAAGCGAGTGCACTGCGAACAAGGGAGGCCCCGATTGCAGCGGACTTTGCGATCACGACAGGGCTTGCAAGAAGGACGGTCTCGTGGTCCCAGACGTCTTTGATCACTCATCGCAGGTCTGGTCCAATGAGATCCAGGAAGTTGTGAGAAGAGAGCTTGTAGTCGGTAAGATGAATTCGGTAAATTGAATCATGAGCTAGAGTCATGCTAAATGGAAAGATGATGATGGCGTTTGCGGTTCGGTGCGCCTCCCGAGGTT